TGGAAATTTATATTAGTCTGATATTGATGTGTACATATGAGGCAGAGCAATAAAAAGTAACCCAAAAAACAGCATCAAGTTGGTGGTCACAGTGTTAGATTATTGCAAGATTGAGGTGGCTATGAACCTTCAACACAGTATTTAAGTAACTCTGCAGAAAATTGAATCTTGGTTTGCAATTTGTATACATGGTAAAAATTAACTTTTATTTTGCCAATATTCAAGTGTCACTGCTTAAGTTAACTTATACACAAACAGGCTTCCCTAGTCAATATCAAAATCAGGTAAAATGGATTAAAAGCAATAACTACAATAAGTGCATTCCCCAATAAAAATATTTGCATGACTCACATTTTGGCAGTAACAACTATAACTGCTCTTAGTTGACTCCCAGGTATTTCCTAACAAAGATTTCTCAGATAACAGTTCTAAATTTACACTTTTGAACTTTGGTTTGGCTGAAAATTTAGAATTTGCGGCCTGCTACCAAAACAGTTTGACTCAATCTCTTTTTCCATAGATATTTTTCACTTGTGGAGATTCGATGAATTTAAAAAAGAAGCGTTATTGTTCAAAAGTCAGCCACTCTTTCAAGTTCTGATGATGTCAACTTCTTTAACTTCATTACCAGTGTATATGGAACATTTTTCTTATTTTTTTTACATTCTCTCTTGAAAAAAATTAATCCTCAAGTACACTCAGGGATTAATACAATCAGATTTTCATGAAAAGGATGAAAACATCTCATTCACTATTTGTAGCACTAATCAACAATCAACTCAGAACATGTTCATACCAAAAGCAATATAAATTTTAGCTAAATTGTACATTTTTCAAACAGAATTCTTAATCATCAATTAAGACCTTCTCTATTATACAGACTGTGCCATCATTCACAGTTGTAATTTATCGATAATATACAGCCTCTGCAATTGAACGTTTTTTGCCCTACAGTCAGTATGAAGGGTGTTCAATCAATTGCCTAGGTGCACTCCATTCTAACATCTTTGTTAAAGCATCTTTCCAATGAAGGCAAAGTTGAATCCAGCAGCATTCATTCAGTTTCTTGGACATGTGAGTTACTGATGCAACTATCAGCTTCCTTCGGTCTTCCTTCGGTTGACACTCAAATATTATAATAAGAAAAACCCACATGACACTCCAAGTATACCTAAGTAATCACTCAATATTGAACCCAGACATCAATGCCCTCCTAACGCACAACTTTAATTTAGTGCTGAGGGCAGGACTGGCCGCTGAAATTATTTAAGATTGAAACAACGCAATGTCTTTCTAGTCCAGGGTCCAGTTGTTCAAAGGCTGATTTGCCCTAACCCAGGGTTAAATTTTAATTCAGGTTTTCTTTATTTTTTTGTCCAAAAGTCTTTTAGGGAAAATTTTTACTATTCTTTTTAGAACATCCCATGATCAAATTGTAAGCAAAAAGATTTGAACTGAATTTCCTCTTGAAGCTTTCAGACCTGAAATCAAATTTCACACTAACCCTGGGTTACCTTAACCCAGCTTTGAACAACCCAGGCCAGTTGTTTTCGGAAGTTGTCAAATACGTTGAGCCCGCGCAACCATAGTTCGGAGACTGGGTGGTTACCAAGCGCTGCACATCGACCAAGCTTCGTGAGCTATATAACAGGATGGACTCGTGATACAGAAATTGTTAAAATTCGGGAACAGCTCATACCTCCAGATAAGTCTTTCGCTCCCAGAGTTAACTATCTTGCTGTTTTGAGTTTTTGTACGAATTGTTAATGTAAGTTATCGTGGCTATGAGATCGTTTTTCGTTTTCCCAAGGAATCATTCATGTACATACTCCACCGGTATAATGTGTAATATGGCATAGGTTAACAGACTACATCAGATATTTAGTTATACAAATCAAAGTTACTGGGACAAAGTGTTTACTTCATAACATGCTCCTGGGTCCCACTAGTTTCTTGTACGAATTATGCAAGATGGAACGCGATGTGAAGTGAATGTAGATATGTACACTGCAAATTCAAAGATGAGCAAAAAGAAACTGAAACGTCTCATTTTACCCCCTACAATTTACACATGTTTCAGTTCTACGTTCTTAAAGGTAAAGTGAGTTGTACATTGCTGCAAGCTCATGTGTTCATAGGCATAAAAGTGCGAAAATTAAGAAAAAAAGAAAACTTAGGGATGGCTGTGGAATTTCTGAGTGTGACGCTGTTTAAGTTGTTACATCACGGTTTTCTCGTTATTCAGGTCAGTTAGGAAAAAGTGATTCTTATTGTATTCTTTTTGACGAAATAAAGGTTCCAAATCAATCAAAATCATGTAAGTGTCTTAAATTTAGAAGTCACTCAGAATTTGATCTTTTTCTGACTCACTGAGTAAGAAGGAAAAACAAGGGTAATGACTCTGTCATCACCATTATCATCAGTGCTACACAGAATTTGTATGAATTACAAAGAATGAAATATCAGTTATATTCACAGACAGGATAATTTCTATACTCAGTATATCAGAAGAAGACCAACCATATCCTGTAACTTTGCTCAAAGAAATATTTTGTTATCTGGAGATGTTGAGTTAAACCCAGGTCCTGGAGCAGTAGTGTGGTGGGTCTGATAACCTGTTGAACTCTAGACTGCATAAGGCATGGTTTGAGTCCTCTAGATGTTAGTGGAGGTGGTGATTACTTTAAGTCTGTATCATATCAGTAGTACAGTAATGTGTCAAAAAAAGGGCTGCTGGTGTTAAATGGTTTAGAGAGCATCCAGAGATGTTCATAGTAGGTATTGTGAATAGTTCATGTAGTCAATTCTTCTTCAAAGGCAGACTTGTTTTTATCACTGATGGTATTCAGTAACATCCAATCCCTTTGCCCCTGTCACTTTTGCTGCCACAGCCAAAAACTACACAAAGAACCATTTTATACTTCTCACTTTTACCTAACCACAAGCACATTTGTAACTATTTGCTTGGACACCAACATTGCAGATAGCAGCTGTCGTCAAGACAAAAGTCACGTGGGTGAAAACCAAGAATAGGCTGCATGTTGATCTGGAAGACACAGAAGGAAAAACAGCTTATGTTGAGTATGACATTTTTGCTAATGAGTACTATCCGAGCCTTGGGTGTTATTCAGGTTTGCCTGATAAAGAAATGCTATCATTTGTCAGTCTCTAGATTTATTCCAGCATTGACCTGAATTATATATGCACTTGACTGGATCTTACTATGATCTAGTAGAGAACATACACATAGATGACATGAGCATCAAGAACTTTTCCTTACATTTTACACTTTGAACAGTTAGTGAGTGTCTGCAACAGACCACAGAGGGCATCAAAATATGTTTGGAACTTCAGGGGAAAAAATCAGCTATGCCTTGTGCACCACTTTTTTGTCCTTACCCATTTTTTATGTTTTCTATGATCTATTGCTGTACAGATGCACAAAAAGTGTAATCACTTTGCTAACTAATGACAATTGCAAAAACTATTGTTGGTTTTTTGTCAAATAGAGCTTCTCTGTTTGTTTTGTAACCCTTTTACGCATGAAAACTTAGTAGCTTGTCATTATGTTGTTTATGTCATCCAATTCAACCAATGAAAGATATGCATACATGGACTCTTGATTTGTCTGGAGTGGTATTCAGTTGAATCAGGGACAAGGCATTATTTTTCGCATAGCTGGGAGGAGAGGGCGGAGAATGAAAAAAACATATGAAATGAACAAATGAAACAGATGTTACATTTTGATCCCGGTCGTCGACTAAGTAAAGATGTTGACTTCTCTAAAGAGTTCGAGATGATCTTTACGCTGTTGAATGGATGACGATCAGATGGAGACGAGGAAAGAGGGGAAATGTGAAGGAAACTCAAGGACAAATTAGTTACCTGCGATGCTTTTTCTACATCTGAAGACGGAGTAGGAGCTTTCCTATCCCTGTTGCTCGTTTATCAAAGCTTAAATGATCTAAATGGGCTCACAAATTTACAAGGCTAGCGCCGAGGCTCTAATGTTGAGAGTGAATAACTCCTACGGAAGAAGGACATTAATTGCAAGAGAAGTTTGTCTTCGAATATCTTTATTTTATCCGCTATTTAAACCTGAGAGCTCAGTAATTACTATCAATCTCAAATAAAACATTTCTGAAATTTGATTATTTCCGCTGAATGTGGTTATTAAAATAACAGAAACAGAAATTTCATGTCCAAAATTACGTATGTCGTGTGCAAGTTGAGCGTGCGTATACAGGAAGCATAACCGACAGTCCAAATCTGTCACGGATGACGTGCAGAAGGCAGGAATTTCCAGAACAAAAATAAAGAAGATAAATTTATCTAAATCTTACAGAAAATGAATTTGATAAGACCGAAAAATAAGTTCGATATTGTTGGAATTCGCGTAAGGATTACGGTAGCCACACAGTCCTAAATCATGCATTTCCATGCATTTCTCGGCTTTTGATGGCCCTGTAAAGAAATTAAGATCCCATTATCACATATAGGGAGTTGTCAATTGAGTAGACATTTTAAGACAAAATGAGCATGGTATTACCTTTTTTCATCACTTATAATTATCTCCACCCATACTACAGTGCTGTAACAACACAAATCTCAAAAACCATTCAGATAGCTTAGGTGAAAAATTCAGAACAGATCGCTTAAATTGCAATTGAACTCACATTTCCAAGTTGGCAGTTGTTTGCTGTGTACTGATGTGTTCTGTGGGCAGTTTCCTCTACGAATTTCTTCTCATGCACCATATACCTCACATATTTTATCAAGAAAGACATAATAAATTCCAGAAGAGCTCGGAATAGATTTCCCTTGTCTTCCTAGTGAGCGAAGAATGATTGAAATGGAAGTCAGTATGAACAGTATAGCTACCTTTGTCTTTGCCGCCAGCTTACAAAGACTGCCTTGTGTTGTTTAGCGATTATTGAAGCTGATCTCCATTAAGGGTAGCTATAGCGGATTTTCAATATGTACACTCGCCTTCGTCCGCAATGGCAGCAATAGCTAAGGACAACACACATGAACGAGAGTATGAAGGTAGCCTCATTCGGCAAATTATTGAAGAACTGAGAATACAAGAACACGCTGTAGATTCTGCTTTAACAAAATAGCGTGCGTTTGATGAAAATCATCCGCAGATGGTAAAGATAAGGAACGACAGAACTCCGTTACGAGTTTCGACGACGAAACTTGAAAAATTGTTCGATCATGATTCCTTAGTTTTTGAACAGGCAAACATATTTAGTTGAGAAGCAAGTGAATTTTACTCCCCTATATTTTACTGAAGGGTGTAAACTGGAGACAGTTTACTTGGTACCTCAAGCTGTTGATTTGCCTGTATGTCTGGACTGTCTAAACGAGGGCATGGTACAATAAGTAAAAGCAAGGGAAATTGATGGGACGTTTCGATATATTTTACAAATTTCGAAACGTTCCGAACATTTCCGACGGGTTTCTGTTATCTATCCGAAGATATTTCTTCAAATACTGAGAACGCTTTTTACTGTTTGACGTTAGTTTAAAAGATCGGAACCTAAAACGGTGATTAAGGTCCCTTTCCACTGGACCCCTCGACACCACAAGCCAGAGTGAAATACTTGTTCAGGAGCACCAAGCTAATTAAAATTTACTTTCAAACCAACAACATCCGTTTGGAGATATATTGTGCAGGAGCATGGCGCCAATAGAACTTAAATATGAATATACTAATGTTGACTAGATATGCAGTTCATGTGTTGTTGGAGATATAAACATGGCGATTTATCTTATTATTAGAAAAAACCAACATGTTAGTCATCGAAAGTGTTATCGGTTACCGCTACCAATCAGGTGGCGCCGGATTTGTTACTCGCACCAATTATATTGCGCTTGCTGTTTCAATTGCAACAATCGCACAAATCAGACTTATTAGAGTATGTTGCTCGCGTGCTTTAGACTGGTAAGAGTATGTTGCTTTCACCAATCGAGTAACACTTGACGGTTTTATTGCTCGCACCATTTAGATGGCGGCATTAGCTTTTGACACATTTTTTAGAATAAAAAAATTTTGTTTTGGCAAGAGTATTAAATTAATTAAGATGTTACATTTCCTGTTATGTGCCTGGGTAGAATATAATTTAAATTTCCGTAGGATGACGTACAACTCTGTCCTTTTTTTTGTTTTACAGATGGCCGAAAAATTCCAGAAAAGGAGCGTCGTAAACAAGATATTGACATGATGGGGAAAAATAAGTTGAAGGATATTGTTTTCCGCTGTATCGAGGACAAGAGTTTCAAGAGACCTCATGCCGAGGAGCTTATTCGAATGCTTCGATTACAATCCTCAAAGATAAGACAGAAAGAATTGATTGCGAATCGTTATGGACTACCAACAATTCAACTTTTAGTTCTTGGGTCGATGAGTGTTGGAAAGTCATCCCTTATCGCGCGATATTTTGACGGTGAATTCAACGATCGAATCTTGGTAACCATGGGCCGGGACATCAGGGTAACTAAGATCTGTCTACATGACCGACGCTTTAATCTAAAGGTTGTTGACACCGCAGGTCTAGAAAAATATATATCTGCTCTCGTTACATCAGAGTTTCGGAAAAGTCAAGGGATCGTCATAGCTTATGATGTGACAGATCCTCGTTCCCTTCACGATGGTGTTAAGACAATTTATGAGCTTATCAAAGACAATGCAGCGGATGATGTGAGCATGATTTTAGTGGGAAACAAAACAGAAGAGCCGCGGCTTCTCAGTGAAAAAGACGGACAAAGATATGCAAAAAACTTTAAAATTCCTTATATTGAGACGAGTGCAAAAACTGGAAAAAATGTCAAAGAAATGTTTGAAATGATCATAAAAGAGATCGATGAAAGCTTGGATTTGTCTGATATTGATTCGTACGTCACAAGCCACGAAAAAGTACAACTGCCGCGAGCAAAAAGGAAAGGTTCCTGTTGTTTATGGGGGTAACTGTAACTGTAAATGTTTTAATTGCTTTCTGTTTGGGTAATGAAAACTCATGTTCTGTTGTAAAGCACGCAGGAAGCGGCTAAAGCACGAAAGAAGTGAAGGGAGAAACACGAGACGTAGTCGAGTATTCCTCCCTATCTCTTGCGTACTTTAGCCGCCACACAGTCGAGGCTTTTAATTTGTTTTATAATCAATAATCCGTTTAACTCTCCTTGCATTAGTTACTATGTTTAAAACAAACTCCATTTATATCATACTCTCATAAAGCACGCTAAATAAACCAAACAGAATATGCGTCAGAATGGTTCGAATAAATTGATTGGTTGAATAATACTAAAGCTGTCAAAATGTCGAACCATCAAAGTTCTCAATCTGCATTAGTTCACAAACTGAAAAAAAAGATCGGTCGTATTCCACACTTTTACTTGCAATTTTTTTCAGTCTTAAACAGGATCGGAACTGAGTGAAATGCTCAGTGAAATCCGGTCAAACTGTGGCTCACGAAATGACGTGACAATAAAAAAACAAAACAGTGGGCATGCCAGGGTTTGACTAATACCTTGGACGTATCAATTCCTTTTTAAGTAAGGAGGGAGGGTCACATGTACCAATGGAACATCAAATAGTTGTTACCTTATCCTCATACATGCAAATAGTGGACTAGAAAGTGGGAGAATTTAAAGTTACTTTAGAGATTTTAAAGTTATTTTAGAGATTTTAAAGTTATTTTAGAGATTTTAAAGTAAAGGTATTTTAATGGCTCGTAGGGTGAAAGTTGTCAAGAGAAATGTTTGTTGACGTCGCAACTAACCAGTCTTATGAAATTTTGGCTTAATGGAACTTTAGATAACGATTGAAACTTTCTGTCGAGTTCAGTTATTTGATTGATAATTATAGTTTTCCTGAACTGTAGCAAGAGCTCGTAAAAACGAATGTGTCTTCTAGTCTACTTTAGACAATTTTACATAATTATTACATTAACTAGAGTTGTTACTGAAGTTATTTCTAGGTTTATAAATAATTTTTGCATATTTTTACCTGTATACCATGTTTGCCGGGTAGAATATATAGTTTTTTGTGTGGATAGGTGCCGTCAAATAGGATTTGATATATTTCCCTCATTCAGTTTTAAGCTAATCTGACTGTAAATACATTTACTTGAAAGTTTATTATAGTGATTTTGATACCTGTTTTAGTTCATTTGCAATCGTGTCTTTAGTCCAAAATGGTAGAGTATTATCTACTCCTCCAAAGCAAAGTATTAAAGAACTGTTTAAAAATTTTACTGTTACGGACTCTTGTATTTAGGATTTTGCTGGTTAATAAATTATACGTTTTATGTGATAGATGTACTTAACGTATAACTAATTTGTGACTGAGAAACCCAAGGTTTGAGCTTTGATTAATTGCAATAAGGTATGAATTTAAAACCAAAGAAGGGATTTTATTTCTTAAAGTTCATTCCTAAATCGTAAACACAGAGTTTAACGGGAAAACTTGAATGTTGAAAGTAAATCTTGAAGTTAAAATTAGAGCATGAGAGTCCCCGAGAGATTGAACATGTGACTTAGCTACATCGTTGAGTTATTGAAACATGGTTTTGTTCAATGTTCGATCTGTGAAGTCAAAGATTCGTTTCGTAGTCCAACGAGTTTGATCAGTAGAAGTATAGCAAATAAATGTTGAATTTTTAAAACTTTTTAAAATTTTCACCAGGAGCATATGTGTCCTATTACAATTACGATTAATTTTTGGCATTTCTTTCTTTTTAATGCCTCCAAAGTGTAAAAGTTCACATTCTTTTTATGTATTCCTTTTGAGTCATCATACATCTCAAGCATCGATCCAGCGAATATCCCGTAGCCACACATTTCACTCCCCATGCCTATCTGATGAGGGTGGCAACAGCTTTGGATGCATCATCCGTCCTCGCAACTCAATTTCTTATATCTATAGAAGATGTCTGAGTCATGGAACAAAAGGCTCTTATCAGGTGTTGATAGAGGATATGATGGTGGTGCGAATCTTTAAAATTAGAATTTTAACGGAAAAGGATCAGAAGTATTTCAAGTCACCCCTGTTTGTTAAAGAATATGCAGGAGAAAATTGATAAGATAAAGTTGGCCGTCAATGCCCAGTCAGCACCAAGTCATGAAGAGTAACCAAAAGCTTTTAAAGAGCCTGTGTAAAGCTGCCCCGATCCCCTCCAGTCAAAAAAAATAAATAAATAAATAAAAAATCAATCAATCAATTATCATGAAAGGGATATTCTAGAACAGTATCAACGACGACGCCACACAAATGTCCCTACCCAATTTATTTTAATTTAGGAGCGGCTGTATGCAGGCTATTTGTAAAAAATAAGCAAATTCTAAGCAATTTTAAGTGATACGCATATATGTTGCTACCGGGGGTTAATATATAGATTTAGCCAAGCCTAAAAGCTGAGCTCGCATTTTTTTTTCCCGCACGTCTCAAGGACACAACACCTTGCCCCGGCTTGGACTAGAACCCGGTTCGTCCGACTCGGAGCCCAGTGCACTGACCACTAGACTACTTAACAAAGCCGTGGCGTTGGCGTGCCCGCGGAACATTTGACCACGCATATTAAATGTAGCACCCTGTACGGTCGTACGGTCGTACGGTCGTACGGTCGTACGGTCGTACGGTCGTACGGTCGTACATCCGAATTTTTTCGGCTTGATGGGTTACTACTATTATGTATAATTATGGGGCTACGCTCTGCGAGCTCCGCTATAAATGGTTACAAGTCAGTGTTCTGTGGGGAGATGATGCAATGTTACTGATATGGATCATAATTATCCTTATAATGATCCAAGGCGTGTGAGGTGTGGTATTCCCTATGCACATACAAACTATGCTAATCTAAAAATATAAATGAATGGGAGAGGAAAAGTATTTGATTATTTACATATGTTTATGCAAGATGGTGGAATATACATCAGGTAAGCACACATGTACCTGTGAAAGTTTGAACTGACGTAGTTATAAAAAAAAAAATAATGTTAACTAGTAGGTTTCACTGAAAAGTACATTGTTACCTATCTGAACAGCTGACAGTCTTTACTGCGTCAAATAGCGAAACTTTACCACATCCCACAAGTGCAAACGCTTATATGCCAACAAATACACCTGTTTGGGCAATTAAAATAGCAGTAGTAGTCACAGGTAAAGGCAAACGTACTATTGTAATAGAGATTTAAAATCAATTGACTTCATGCAAAAAAAATTGTTAACGAATTGATGATGTTGGGCGACACGCTGGACGGTGTTTAATGTTACATCTTCACCACCTTCAATTACCAAGTGGGTTTGAATCGCCTTGAGTACCAATAATCTTTGTGGAGCCCTCGCAGCAGCCGACAATTCTCAGTTTTTTCGAATTCTGCTCCCCTCACACATCACCGGTACATGAGTCTATACAAAAGGTTCTGTCACTATAAGCGATAAATTATCGTCGAAACTGCAAGAAAATGGTGGCAGGCACAAAAAATTGATTTTACCAGGTCCAAAAGGCGTACAATATCAGAAAGGTAAAACAGCGAAAAAGCCACCCTATATATTAAGGCAAAATTCTCATCGAGGAAAAATATTTCCAAAATGAATAAAGGGGGCAAGTTTCTAAAGAAACTGTGGTGCTGCGTCGGTGGGAGGGCATATTTATCTTATTAGACGTTTTGGTATGTAGTATCGCTGAGTGTTTTTACGAGTTGTGCCGTATTTTGACGAGCCTGTAGGGCTAGTAAAAATACTCGGTAATGCCACACACCAAAACGTCTACTAAGTTATTTATTATCCAACTACTTTGTTTTTTCTGCTGAGTCTTTCTGCTCATTGCTCATAAGGCGGGGAAAAAAAGGGGATAGAGAAGCGTAGCGCGCGCAGCCGACTGGTTAAACAGGTTTTTTTACACTACAAAAAACCAATTGTCCAAATAACCGTACAATATCGCAGGATATTTGTACTCTATTCGCGCGTTATTTGTACAGTTGGATAATAACACAAGGTAATTTGTTACTATCAACTAACTTTATAACATATATTGGTTACCGTAAAGGCTTCAAAGCTGACTTTTCCAACGTTAGCCTATCGTCATTTACTTTGACGAAAGGCTGAAGCTCGAAGCGTCAGCTTTGAAACTCTTTACAGCGGCCAATTTACGTCATCAACTCCGTTGATAATACCAAATTACCTTGTTATTTCCAAAATGAACGCGCAGCACACGTTTGCGCAAATTGAGTGAGAATGTTTTTAGAAAAAAAATAACTCCGACCTACCTGTATCGATTCATGGTAATTACACTCAAAGATCCAACCTGTCTACGACCTCGCTAAAAAAGATCTTACACAACTAATCTTCTGCTTTCCCTGGTTAAACATAATTATTTTTGACGCTTCTGGAGGCGAGGGTAATTGAAGAACAACAGGTGACGCTTCGTTCTGATCAGCTCAAGTCGGCAAACTGCACATAGCAACAAAAATATGTCTCCCCTGTACCGCTTTACGTTAAGACGTGGTTTTATTATGAAAGACCCATTCAAACTGACTAACCTACCTACTTACTTACTTGTCTACTTCCTATACTACTTACTTATCTACTTACTTACTTACCTATCTACCTACTTACTATAGAACGATCGTGTCCGGTGTGGGAACAGGCCCCTTGATAAGCTTTCTTTTTAGCTGAATTCATCGGCCACCCTCCCCTGATTTGATAAGTGGTATGCGTTCGTAACAGCTGTCTTCGAAGCGGACGGGGCATAGCCGCGTATATTTTGGCCACACAGCTTCATCCTTTAGAAAGAAGTATATAGAAATACCCGGTCTATGTGTATTATTCTTGTAGCTAACATCATTTAGCGCTTCGGTCACGCAATGTGTTCTCCTTCTCTTCATGATTTCTCCCTTCTCCGCCATAGTTGCTGACGTGTCAGCACAGTTTGCTACGTCACAGTTATCTGACATTATCGTTTTGCCGCGCATTAAATGGAGACATTTTTCCGCCACCAAATCGTAATTTCAATGCGCAATCACGAAGAACAAATCAAATTTTAGATAGAAATATCAACCAGAAAACGCAAAAAGAAAGAATCGTATCATAGGAACTTTAGAGCTTTTTCTCGCGTTCATTCGACATTCTGCTTAGCTTTGTCACTTTCATGTGCTGACATAAAATTTAAAGTATTTCACTGAGAGTGGATGAAGCGTTAACTTCTCTTGATTTCATGTATTTCAAAGGCACTGAACAACAGTGGTGGTTGAACAGTTATTGCTGTCTGTGCTGTTTTGTAGCATAACGCGGTTCCTAACATCATGAAAGGTTTGTGGAACTTATTTGTTTAAACTTGTAGTGTAATTAGTAAAAACTGATGTTTTTGTGTTTGTCTATTTGGGTGCTATTTGTTATGTTTATAAAAGCAGTGCAAGAATTTTTTGGACTTAAAGACTGATCTCATGAAGGATTATGTCTTCAATAAGTTATACAATTCATTTGAACGCTCCTTTCTTAATAAAGCAACATTTTAAAAGAAGTACGGGATCACCAATTTTCAGAATAATATTCATTATTTGAGTGGACAAAAAAGGAGTAAAAAACAGGGAGCGCTCGCTGTTAACATCTATCATAAACGTAAAGTCATCAAAGGTGTTATATGCATGGCGAACTCATTAAAAAAGATCTAGGAAGAGCTTACTTTACTATATAATTCCCAATATGTTGATTTCGTGACCAAAAGTTAAGGAGCATTCCGGCCTTTGAAAAAACTCAAGATCGAACGGAATTAGAACTTAATGACTGCAAATAAATGAAAATCGTATGTATGTGAATAAAAGTTTAATAGTATTCATAACTAGGAGGATCGCTTTCATATTCGTTTCTTCAACCGCAGTTCACATTTATATGATTTTCATATATTTGCAGTCATTTGTCCACCACTTGGAGGGTTTATTTAGAACCAACATAATGACCAGCTCCCACTTGACTTGTTCGCTCAGTTGGTAGAGTACTACACCGGTTCAAATCCCGTACGAGCCTGAATTTTTTTCCGGCCTTATTTTCACCACTTATTAAGTAGGGTTAGAATTTATTCAGTGTCAAACAACAAAGATATACTCAATTTTGTCAAATTTCATCACCTTTTATCATTTGAAGTTTGTTTCTGCAGAGATATTCTGCCATCGTTCTGTCTATTACGATTGTACATTAGAGCGAGTAACTGTGTACGACTGAAACTTTGCTGGTTTCTCGCATACGAATCTTAAGTTTCTGCACCTTGTTGAACTTGTTATTTTACCACCCATCTGAGAGCTCTGAAGATTACGATGGCACGAAAGTGGCGAAGGTAATTCTAGGGAAGCACTCAACGCACTCTTAGCATGTTGGGATGTCAGCCCTGTACGTTATCATCATGGGATTCAACAGCAGAACACAACGCTACCACATTTGTAAACTAAGACGAGTCATGATAGCAGCCCTAGATGATATTGCACGTGGGAACGCTGAGCCCTCTTGAATAAATTAGTGAAATCAAATGACGTCAAACAGAGTGAGGACGAAGTTGACCTAATACTCGTTGACATCTTAGCAGAATGTTGCGAGAATGCGAGCCACTGAAGCACACCAAGGCAAATTGTATCCATCACTGCTGACAAAGTCAGCTATCAAACGTCACAGAGTTGGATTCCTGGAATAACACGATATAGATGTAATGTAACTAGGCAACACGCTCCTATGTATGGACAGATGATATTCTCTTGGTATGAAGGAGATGCTGAAGTTGAAAATCGTAGTGTGCTGAAAATGTATGTCTCGGTCTCACAGCTGGACCAGTAACTTAACTTTTCCACAAGTGAACACAGAGATGTAATAAACACTCATTTACAATCTGGCTGAGGTTAACCCGCTCCATCCACAGCAAAGACCTGGTGCCGACTCGCGGACCTGATGTCATATGGGTTTAGTTTTTATTACATGGGATGCCTGTGGCAGACCTCGTTAAAAATCGCCGAGGGTCGTCATGGTCAGATAAAGAAATTAGTCACGCGCTGGTCATGAAACTGAGAATTGTCTCGTCGTACATTTGACATGCATGACGTCTTTATTTTCGAGCGAAAGGTAATCGGAAAAGTTCACGCGGACTTACAAACACAAAAATCACTTCCCTTCTTCGAATAACTGCGTTCTCAGAATGAATTTGCAGAAGGAAGCACTCAAGTGACCTAATCTAAGGCTTCCGTAAAAACGACTTTGTCAATCAAGCACGATCGAATAGCAATGGAAGTGAGAATATTACGCCTCTTGCCTTAATTTCCAGTTTTAACGGTAAGTAATATCAAGTTACCTCGGCAACTAAAACTGCTCTTGTTGAATGTGAGCACATAACTTGATAAGCTATGAATGAGCCCTTTATTTCACAAACGACAGCATCCTAAGAATTTAATTAACATTTTAATATTTTCTACATAAATAGCTAAACTATTTCTTTCCCAAGTTCTTTACAAAACTAATCAATAATAATAATGATAAAAAAGACTTTCTACCGTCGCATATCACGGCTTCAGCCCACATAAAAATCGTAAAGAATAAGGCGTGCCAAATAAAAGACAAAAATTTGCTGTCTGGTCACAACGACACTCAGCTCGATTCAAATAACAAAGCAAAAAATGGGTTTACCAAATAGTGAAATTACATCAATAACGTTACAAAGCAGTCACTATAAAACTATATTCCAGCTGGTAAAAATAAAGAATCTAGAAAATGATATTGCACGTTTCAGATATAGATTGGATAGATGGATTGGGCCGTCGTTTTTCTCTCTGATTTAACAGATGAAATTTAAAAAAAAAATTAAAAAGTTGTTATTACTGGCTTTCCAATTCGAGAGGAGCAGACTCTTTGGCATTCTAGGTAGACGTTAGTCATGAGCAGCTTTGCTAGCTTACAAACTACACGCCCACCGTAATAAATGTATTTCTAGAGCCTTCTTGAAACCATTATCATTTCCTATTTTCCTGCTGATCGCTAAAGATAAGATAGACCACTGAAGCACACTAAGTTCCGAAACCGCAAGCCACTGAAATTGTTACGCTGTTCGCAGAACCACATAAGAATACAGTCGAAAGCGAAAACTCAAACCCCTTATTTACAGGGATTCCAACGATAATCCACAATGTTCCAATGATCGAACGGAGTAAACATCCAATTTGGACAGTAGAGTAGTTTTCTACGAACAGAAAATTACACCTTAGAGAGCGAAATTACAATGCACATGAAATACGTTAAAACTTACCGACTGTTTCGAGTTTAGAGTGACCAACAACAACGACAATTTTAGGTAACAAAATATGCCAATACAAACAAGACCATTTCTTCTTCGACGAAAGAACTTTAGAACTTGCTGCGCAAATGGATTTGAAAGATTAATTTCCACTTCAATGGTAGAATAGGTAATATTACTTGTAAAGTATAAGATTCGTGTGAGACATGATTTTGAGCAGGCAAGGTCTCTTCTTTCAGAAAAAGTAAATGAATGAATTGATGACAATAAACTGATAACAACGTCAATTTAAGAGAAACAAATATGGTAATTTTCGGTAATATCGTATGTATAAGTCACTCTTCCTGTTGCCTTTGATGTTTCCACGAAAACATACATTTTTTTGGAAGGATATTAATAATATTTTAGGTAACCTGTATTCAAAAGTGTTCAAACCACAGATCACGTTTTCTTCGTTGTATTTCTGCGTTTGTCTCCAACAGCAGTTAGAATTTTTTTAAAATTAAAATTAAGAAGGTACCCCTAAGCCTTACAAAATGCATTCCACACCCTAAGCAGTGTCAGATCAAATACCTTAGGTTTTGCGTTTGTTTGCCAACGATGTTTGGATAATACTGGTTGAAAATAACAATCTTAACCGAGTTAGAAAGCCATATCTAAATATCTCTCGCAACAAACGGTTAAAATTAAAATAAACGGTTTTAGTATAATGATATTTGAAATATTCATCAAATGTTTGTTTTATTTATCAGACTTTTTGAAAGCATTCGCGCAGAACTGAAATAAGCCTCATTCAAACAATGCAATAGCAGCACCATACATTCTTTCCTTTCAAAAAAAAATTTTAAAGTAAGTGCGTCGAACTTTTTTATGACTGAGTCTAGAAACTTCTTTTCACCACATTTACTGATGGGAGAGATAAAATATTTTGGTTGATTTCCCTCAGGGCTTAGAGACACGCTGAATGTCGAAGGGTCATTCTTGGACATGGCGCTAGCTATCCTTCCTTACAGGAAAGTTTCTTTGCTTTTCTAAAGTGTTCAGGGGAGTTAAAATTGCGAAAAAAAGCTTGGTTGGCTTATGCCAAACTTAGGACTATTAAGTAAGTTCGGAAACTTTTCAGTATCACTATCAGTCACTTTTCAATCGAACCCGTAATTATTATTCATATTCATATGGTCAAAAGACCGTGACATACGATATTTTCCCGCCACAATTAAGCATCGTTAGTAAGATCCTTAATAAATTAACTGAACTGAGCGCAATCAATCATAAATGCAACGGTCGACTCTGGTGTGAGAGTTAACTGTTCCACTGTTCGCATTGCTGCTTCACTGGGAAATCTTACAAAATGAAAGCAACTCTTCTGTTGTTCGTGTTATCAGTCTATATTCCAATTTGCATTGGGAGAAATGTTAAAGCCTTACACGCGTATGATTATGTACACAAACCTCGTATGTGTTAACTGTTGTATCTTAAAGTCGTTTAGTTTTTATTCTTGATTTCAAGCTTTCTTTATTCGGCTTGATATGTTTTCACAGCTTAAAATTATTGAATGGTGTCTCATTGCAGGTCTGGTGATAAGAGGCAGCGAATTTTCGGACGAAGGTAATCATTGTTGGGAAGAATTCAATCTGAAATGCTTTTTTTTCTAACCAGATATCAACAAAACAGTACTTGAAGCAGCCGAGGTACCGTTGTTTTCGACGCTTAATATGGAATGAGCTTTCAGAGTTAATTGGTATTTTGTATTCTGTCACTTTCCCGCCAAGACAAATTTTGAGTGCTCCGGAAATTTTTAGACAAGTAAGGTTTTGTGTAATAAATAAGCTAAGACGTTTGAACAAAGAATCCATGTAAATTTCCCAATTTCATCTCAAACTGATATTTTTGTCTTAATCATTTTAGGCTCTATTATTCATCATTAAATGAAGCGCGAAGTAAATTAATTATGCTTTGCCGTGTAAAGTCAGGCGATTGAACTAAAAAATCTAAGTTTAACTTTAATCTCAACCGTAGTAACTGCCTAACTTCTGGTCACGGGCTATAAGTGTGAAATGATATTTAAACGATGCACTTAACTGTGCGAATCACTTTTTTCTAAAAAAATGCACCTCACATAATCATTGTCACAGGACTTTCCCGCGCAAATTTACTTTAACATTTAATTAGCTCTCACAATGACGACTTATTAGGCTAATTATAGCAATTTCGATCTTATAACAGAATGAGGCGAGAAAAGTCACAAAAATTTGCTTTTTAATTTTGTAATAGGTTGTGAAGATTTGCCAAAGTGGAAGAATAATTGCCCAAAATGGGCAACTGACGAATATTGCAAATCGAAATTTATGCAGCATTACTGTAGAGGAACCTGCAAAGTTTGCGGCGAAACAGGTAAATTATATAATTACATGTCACAAAACATCTATCATTTTAAGTCAACGTAGCTTTCTACCAGTGGAAAAATTTTAAATGCAGATACGAACGAATCCGGAATCGCATTGGTTTTGTTCCTCTTCATTCTATCGATGGTTTAGCAAACTCGTAACACCTTCTCGAACAATCAGGTGCGAAGCTAAAAACAGTTGCGCCATGTTTACTCACATTTCACCCCACCCTCCCCCCCTTCTCCCTACACGCAGTTTATTTGTTTTCACTTGACTCCTCACGATATTTCCCGCAATTCTTTTTAAATACACTCATCTTGATCGGATGAACTTCAGATAATCTAAAATATGTGCTCTTAATTTTGTTATATATATACTTTTTCTGATCTTACAGTACCGCCTCCAGGGCCCATCGAAAAAAAGCCACCAGCGCCTCCTGCAGGTAATTTTGTGCGAAGTGAATAAGGAAAAAAGGATTAAAAACAGTAGCTTTACATCGTAGTAACCATTATCTTTCTTCCTATTCGCTCTCCGACTAGAAGGAAGGATAATAACATAGAGTCTATTTCGATGTTGATCATTTATTAGAAATGAATTCAGTTTTGTTTTAAATCGTAGCCAGACATAATCGCCTTTGATGAAAAGGCACTAGGAAATTAGAGAAAACACAAACACTGCTACGAATAAAGCTGAACCAGAAGTTTCTAAAGTTATTTTTCCAAATTGTTGAAAAACATGTATGGTATAAAAGTGCAAATTGATCCTGTTAGCTTCCTTGAAAAATGCGCTTTTTCGAATGGTGGCGCAAATTCGAGGTTTTGTAGCACTTCAAAGTTAGACTTCTGCTGTAGAATGGAAACCAAGTCGGTGTGGAGAAAATAATGCAAAAGGATAATTGCACAAGTTTTAGTTTATCATCTCTTACAACCAATAGAGCTGATTAAGTTACTAGTGAATCTGATATTTTTTTGTATTGTTCACATATTAGCTTTCTGTCAAGACTATGACAAAAGGTGTGGATTCTTTAAGAGAGTTGGACTGTGCGAAAATCCTGAACAAAGGGAACACATGGCAATTTACTGTGGAGTGACTTGTGAAATGTGTAAGCAAAAGCCTGTTGCTGTTTAAAGATAAACTGCAGCGTAGAACTTACCAAAAGGTTTTTGGATATGAGGTGACAACATAAAGCATAGGATGACAATTTTACTCTCTATTTTCCAAACACCGCTGTAGCACGACAAGGATAAAAGTTGTCGTAAATCCTTTTTACTGGCTGTTATTATTATTGAATGTTACCAAGAAAAACGGGACTAACCAAAAAAAAAAATAAATAAAAATGAACATGTTCAGAATCAAACGATTTGTACCCTTCATAGTACATTATACGCATACAATATACTATTTGCAATAATAATTTATGACAAGGTCAGATAACCAAGCAATCATTAAACTAACAGAAAAATGAAATACCACAAAACAGAAACCTAACAAACCTAACGAAGCGTAACATTTTTAGTAAATCTTATCTGAAAAAGAAATCTAAGAGAATCATTTGTTTTCTTTTTATTTTTTTTGCATTTGTTTTCAGGCCAGGCACCCACCCCAGAGGGTAAGTCAAAGAACAGTCTGTAACATTTATGATAATGCGCACCAGTTAACTTCGATAAAAAGAACTTTAAGACCTTATCTGTTTTCCACTTTCTCCTGAAGCAAAGGAGAAACTCGAATGATATGAATTCTCCTGATTTTCTTGAAAAAAAAATCTGGGTAGAGTAACAAAGAACTCCATTTTAAGAAATCACTGTCGAATCAGTGATATAACCATAAAATTGAAAATTTCCTTTTGCATCAATTTACAGTATCTACTAGACTGATTATATATAAGCTTGCACTATTTAGTGGCTGGTTTTTTTTCCCTTTTTTTTGACAGAATGCTACGACAAATTTGATCATTGTAAAGAATTGAAGGAAGCCGGAGACTGTTCCTCTTCTGACCCCAAAAAGGTTTATGAAGTGAAAACAAATTGTCTGGTTACGTGCGAGTTCTGTGGTAAGGGATCATGGGAAAAAATGTTTATAGTATGATAACTGACGCGTCCGCCAAATGGAACAAATGTGTGTTCAGAAAGTTTTACTTTTAAAAACGTATAAGAAAACATTTCATAAGATGAGAATCTTTATTTAAGTGCCAAGGTATTTCAACTTACAGGATTAATTGAGGGCACTGAAAAAGAATTTAAGATGAAGTAATTTTTTAATTTTATAATTAATATAATTTTAATCCAGATTATGGAAATACCTTTGATGCTTTTTGCGTTTAAACCTTAAGAACTGTGTAACATCTACGTAAAAACCAGCAGATATGGATTAGTAGTAAATATACAGCGATATGCTGTTTTTCTTTTCTCATTTATTCTTGTTTTTTCTTTCCTCACTTAGCTCCTGACTCAGCTCCTTAACCTCTGAGCTACAGTTCAAACTCTGAAGAAAAGACGGCCAGTTTGACCTCTTTGAAAACACAGTTACCTGCTGCCTGAAGTAATGTAAACAGCTGAAATGGGCTGTTAACTAAAAAAACTTATAAGTAAGCTTATCGTCAGTTAATACTAAATTTTTGCTTGTTTGTAAACTTAAAATTTTGATACATTTACCGTCAAAGCTGAAAATAAAATAAAATACTAGTAAGGTGATGATGTTGTTGGTCAGTGGTGTTAGTCAAGCCCGTTGGAAAATGTTACTAATCTCCCTGCGTGGGTAGTTCTTTTAGATGTCACGCAACGCTCCTCCAATTACGCGATAAACCAACGAACGGCTGAGGAGTCGAACCCAGCTCAGGTGCTAATTAGCATTCCCGCGCGGGGCGCCTCGCCCTAAAAAGCACTACCTTGCATAATTTACTGCCTCAATATTCTTCTGCTCAAATTGATTTGAATTAATAATTTCTTGTTCAAGGATTGTATTGTTAATATCAATTGTAAAGTACATGACCCGTGTCAGAAAGTGATTTAACTAGGCAAGGGCTCTTCTTTGAGAAAAATAAATGCAGTATTTAATAAAAGTTACCTGCATTTGGGAGAAACAAATGGAAAGGTTCGGTAGCAAAGTACATTTGTATAAGTTGCTCTTCCTGTTGCCTTTCGTGTTTCAGCGAAATCTTACATGTTTTCTAGCAGAATATTACTAGCAAGTTGGGTAACCTGTGACAAAAGGTATTCAAAATTCAGTTTTTTTTGGCAAATAGAATCAATGAGAAAGCTTCTTAAATTACTATTTGTGTTGTTCTTACAAAATGCACCTTACACTTCAGCAATGTCAGATCAGTTGCCTTGGGTAAAGCGTTGTATGCCAAGGATGTCAGTTGATGTGGTTCAAAGTCGAATTTTCAACCGATAAATTCATATCTGTCCCAAAAAACGTTGAAATTAAATTACTCGACTTCAATCCAATTCGCAATATTCATCACATTTTTGAAAGCGTTTACGTAGAACTGAAATAGGACTTATTCAAACAGTTCATAGCACCATTTTATGTTTCCTCGTTCATGCATTCTTTGCTCTTAATACATTTTACAATCAGTGCATCTAGCTATCACTGAGTCTGCCACATTCATTTCAATAAATTTGCTGTCTAGAAAATTATGTCAGTTGATGTTCCCTCGGGGCTTACAGACACTCTGAATATCGAAGACACACTGATTGTCAGTCATTCTTGAAAACAACGTAAGCTAACCATATTTTCCGCCAAAATCATGCATCGTTAGTTTTCCACGCCTTTCAGCACACTAAGATTCTCAATAAATTAATATTTTCTGAGCGCGAACTCTCATAAGTGCAACCGTGTGGACTCTGATGCGAAAGACAGCTGTTCTACTGTCCACATCGCTGCCTCGTTGAAAAATCTAGCAAAATGAAAGGAATAATTTTTGCTTTCGTGTTTTCTGTCAACATTCCAATTTGCATTGGGAGAAATGTTCAGGCCTTGCACGCGTATGATTATGTACACAAACCTGGTAAGTATTAACAGTTATGTCCTGAGGTCGTTTTATTTTATCATTGTTTACAAGCTTTAAATGATTTGTCCATGCTTAGCGTGCGCATATCGAAATATAGATGCACGAGCCCGAGAGAAGCGTAATAGTCGCCGAGGCGACTCTGGCTTGTCGAGTGCTCTCTAAACTTCCCGCGTACATCCATAACTCGATAGACGCACAGCTAAAGCATGAAATAATTTTGCTATAACGTACTGGTAAATTTACCCTGTTTGAATTCTTCTTTTACTAGAATTTACGATCAGAAAACTACGTAGCTTTGTGTTGAAAATTCTGAAAATTATACGATTTCAAAATATTGAACAACACTTTTAAGACATATCGACACTTCAAAATAATATTTGCCGTTTAATGAAGACTACCTAACGTCGCAAAACCTTAGTTATTGTCAGAAAGCTT